GAGTAATTCAACTATCCGAGGCACGCCAATTTTATAGCTTTGTTACGACAGAGGAACGAAGGCATCCTGAAAGTCTTTCCTCACGTCCCTACTGTTATGTTCTACAGTGTTTTTACAGCCGAAGACGTCCACCGCTGGATCTAACGATCTCCATTTCAGCCAAGAATGTGGCAACGTTCCTTTCGCGGTACTAGTGTCTGCGTGGTGGTGGTAGACCTGAGATCACAATACCATTTAGCAGGGAACGAAGGTATAACGAGAGCGATATTCAATTATATGAATTAACTCCATGGGGGTCATTAAGGCTTGAGATATTTTTACATTCTGTATATCTACGGCATGTGGGAACTCACTTTGCATCCCTTCCAGTGGATGGTGTACCTAGGTTTTCTTCACCCTTGCATATCCGCCGAACTCACTCCTCCAGTTTTGTCACTTTTGTATTGAAAAAATTAGAAATGTAACATTAATTTATTTTCTCTCTTATAATTCGGTCCCACCGTTCCGTTGAAACAACTCGTTACAATTATAAAGTAGAGGATCCGACCGCTGTAGGTCGGCGCTGGATCTAGCCGGGGAAAGCTCACCGCCGCAACCCGAGAGGAAAAACATTCACTACACATACGGAAATAATGACCTCTGTAGTTCACGCGTCCGGAATCGCTAACAACCAACCAACCTAGAGAATCCGTCCATTTCGGTCCGACGCCATGAGATAGGATTCTTAGCTTATTTCAAATATTCTGCCTCGCGGCGAGATTTTCAGGTGTGTTAATAAAGTAAAGATATAGTACAAGCCAATAGATTGATATCCCTCCTGAATGAAATACGCTAAAGCTCGTTGATAATCAATAGAACGATTTATAAGACATAATGAACACAAACTGTAAATTAGCTGCTGCTCGATAAAGGATAGCACCAAACAATGAAACAAACAAAAAAGAGAACAAAATATAGAATTTTGTAGATTAGTTTTCAAGAAATCAGCAGACACAAATGCAATTCGCATTACATGTTTCGCAGCATCCCTATTTGGAAGTACGAGCAGTTGGAATAGCAGGACTCGAAATATATGTAAAATTAATTTGACCGTTTGGTAATCTGCCCAATTTAATCGCTGAGGACAAAGTATGTTTGTTAATAAACGCTTAGCAATATCAGAATTTTAACACACGCAATATCGGGCCTGTGTGAGGTAGCGCACACAATTTTTGGGTTCCAGTAAGATGCTCTATTCATTTTTAAAACTGTGATATACAAAATGCGAAGTGTTCTCATGGACCTAATTCGTTCTTTTATATTGTAAAACGATTGATTGATAAATTCTGTTAAATTTAGAAAAAAAAATCCTCTGACTCGTGATGTAATCTATGCACCTAATGTATGTTTTGTTGGATTTTGATGCCGAAAAATCGATTGACGGCAAAAGTGTTTGTCCGCCAATGGTCAACGCTAGCGGATGAGGATGTCATGAAACGCAACCACTGAACGTACACATTAAAGAGGTGGCTTGGGGCACTACGGAAATACCGTCAAGAGCCCCCAACGTCTTAGCGAACTGGACGAACTTGATGCTTCTCGCAATCATGTCAAATTCGTGGCGAAAGATAAAAAGAAAAATATAGGAAAGAAGATTATTACCGACTTCTTCTCGGGGCCTTGCCTCACCCAACGGTGCGAAGTTTGCGACGGTCAGCGAGGTGGTGTCGCCGAATAGACGTCTCCGCGCAGATCCGGGTTCTTACACTGCAATGTACTATACGAAAAACCCGCAAAACCATGCGAAGCAGATTCAGTGTCCGTTTCTCTTCCTCGTTCTCACCACACACTCCATCACTCCCCAATAGCACACCTTTTCCGACCTTCCTCTCTCGCGTCTCAAAGCATTCTCCTCACGTTGCTACCTACTGCGTCGGTCGGCACGGACACTACAATTCAAATATCTCAGAATATTTATTAATACAGGTTTCCAACCTCTTGCAGAGGGCATTGCCCGCTCTATTTGAATGTAGCGTTTGTATTTCAACTACAGATAGGTAACGGTTTCACTACCAGAGGTCTAAAATTACTCTGCACCTGACATACGACTACTAACTTTACTCACTTCTCAAAGTAAAGTTGAACGAACTGACAAATGTTTAATGAAAAATCATGTAAAAAGTAAAAAAAATTAAAAGAACTTACTGTTAACGTGGTTGTGTTTTTTTATTTCGTCGTAATCTGAAAATCCGCCCAAAACCGCACACGTTTTGATGTATTTCCGCCCATTGGGTGGTATTCCGGGAAGTTAATTTTTGTCCCGCAAGAGAGAGCCGATTCCCAACCCGAAAAGCGAAATTCAGCCTGTCAACCTTGCTTATGGTTGCAGCAACTACAATGTGATAAGATAATATTGACTTATTGAACAACAAATTGTTTTTTCTTACTGTTTTTTTCGTAAACATTATTTACAAATTATACTTCGTGATTTCACCAAGGTGACAAAAGTTATGGGGTAGCAAAATGCAAATATACAGATGGAAGTAGTGCCGCGTAAGAAATAAATGGGCCGTGCATTGGCGCAGCTTTCATTTCATTTCAAGGATACACTTGAGCTAGTACAGAACAAAGTTGTACGGCTCATAGCTCGCCCTCCGTTTCGGAGACGGTTGAAACTACACAGGAAGGAACTTGATATCGAGCCCTTCACTCAATGCTTGAGACGGCTTTCGTTGAACGAAGCCTATCAAGACTTTCAAACGAAGCTCCGGCAACGCTAAAAAAAGCTCGACACGTTCTCACTATAGGACACAGAAGACAAGAAGTCCCCTCTGATATTCTGAGGACGTAGTTCAACACAAAAGCCGATTTTGTAACTGACTAAGGTCCGACGAGAACTCACACCAGCCACTTACACATAGAAGTAAAACGCGAAATGCGTGCGAACTGCAACACAACTACACAAACCTTCGGCTAAGCCAAAAAAAATTCATTTGTGCTCAGGTGATTCGTGTGAAATGGTTTCTGTTGCGATTAAGGAGGCACGTGAATTAACAGTCTTTGAATGGATGCGAATGGTCGCGGAATGATAACTGGAGCTAGATGCACGGGACATTTCATTACGTAAATCATTAGGGAATTCGATATATCGAGATCCATGTCGAGAGTCGAGAGTGTGCCGAGAATACCTAATTTAAGGTATAAACCCTCACCACGGGCTACCCATTGGCCAACGGCGTTAACTTAATGACCGCAAGCAGCGACGTTTTCGTAGAGTAGTCAATGCTAACAGTCAAGCAACACTGCGTTAAATAACAGCAGAAATCAATGTAGGACGTACGACGAACTGTTTGGACAGAGCGGCGAAATTTTGCTTGCCCAACCAGAGTGCCTTTGTTAACAGCAAGACATGACCTGCATCGCCTCTCCTTGTCTCGAGACCATATCGATTGGACCTAGACGACTGGAAACCGTGGCTTGGTCAGATGAGTCCCGCTTTTAGTTGGTAAGATAAATAGATAGATAGATAGATAGATAGATAGATAGATAGATAGATAGATAGATTTATTATTTCTGCAGGTAGGTAGAGAACATGGGAGAAGAACACTACAATTTACATATTACAACTAAGAATAGTAATACACTGTAATTTTAAAGCATTTTAAGGCAATAGTACAACAATAATAATAACAATAATACAACAATAATACAACAATAATAACAATAACAGCATTACCTACAAACTTTATGACTGTCCTGCACGGAATTTTTAAGTAATAAATACACTGCACTTCACTACACTTCACTTCACTCGCTACACTACACTTGCACTTGACTTCTCTATTGCACTACACTACACAACACGTCACGACACTCCAATTCAACGTATGTATTCTTGGCTATCCGGGATGAGCCGCGTCTCAGTTAATTGGACTGACGTTTCGGCCATCTTGCTTTGGCCTTCTTCAGATCTATACTGCGATAGCTTCAGCATTATAGCTCTGAAGAAGGACACAGCAAGATGGCCGAAACGTCAGTCCAATTAACTGAGACGCGGCTCATCCCGGATAGCCAAGAATACATTGACTCCGGCCGCGGAAGCCTACGAACCCATACACCAATTCAACTACTACTTTAATATAATTGTATATTAAACAAACCAATGCATTTAATAGTGATTATCACCATACTAAAAATAAGAAAGTCCTGCACGAGACGATTTCGCGTGAGCATGGCGCAGATCGCAGAAAATCCTCTAAACGTCAGCCCAGTAGGACCAAAGTTTGCTAGTCGCGAGCCACCGAGCCAAATAAGCTCGGCTCTGAAAGCCGAGCATCCGATGCGCGGAACGAGGAGAAAGACATCGACTCGGACTAGTCTCGCATAGGGAGGCAACGGGCAGTGGACCACAATGAGACGATGTGTATGTAAGAGTTAAAATAAGGAGATGTGTGTATAGAAAAAACGGGACAGTTTATACTAATGCATGGAAATATTACGCTTCAAATAATAGTATTTATAATAAATATAATAATATTAGTGGTAATAACAATAATAATACGCCCCTCGAGTTGTCGGGGCTGTTAGTAGAATAGCACCACGGGATCTCCCCCTGTTGTAAGAGAAGACTAATCGGAGCCGCTTAGCGTCCCTTCCTCCGAAGTTATGTCCTCTTTTTTTTTGTGTTATTTAAGGTCGCATCAACTACTAGGTCATTAGCGACCACTTTTGCTTGTAACGGTATGGTATCTGTGGGTTGACACGATAATGATGATGATAGGGGGTGAAAGGACGAAACACAATACAACCATGCCCGAGGCGGGACTCGAACCCGCGATCTTTCGGTCCGAGTTCGCTACGGCAGTACTACCTTAGCGATCTCGGCCACCGGATCGTTATGTCCTTGTTTACACATGCCTCCCCCCCCCCTTTCTCCCCGAAAGTTGCTGAGTAGATTGAGTAGCTCGTCGTCTTCCGTCACCTGCATCACAGTTATTTCCTGTCTTTCAGTTCTTACTTACCCCTTTCCTTCATTACATGGCAGAAGGTATAAAATGCATAACCCATGTCAACATGGAGAGAGACTCGCAAGTACCAGAACCTCAAATGCATCAAAAATTAGCGCTGTTCCTGATGCGGACACGCAGCTCATTGGCGACGCCCATCGTAATAGGCCCGGCAACAGATTTAGGAACCCTGCCCGCAGTGCGTTAGCGGAGCAATCCTCAATCCTCTATCACCAAGGCGGCGCAAGGAATGGACCACGGAAATGAATAAAAGCGTCATGCGCTGCTGCTTCAAAGCGACATGTCTAGAATCCAAAATTACACTATACCGAGCCATAATGCATGAGCTGTTTTCGTTCGAAAATCGGCATAAAGACGTCACAGAACAACTTGTGGCATATCAATGTATGCACCCATTCCACCCTACCCCCCTTTCCTCCTTCCCCGGAACGTAATATTAGTATTTGATTGTAACAAATTCATTTCTTGAAAACGAGACCCAAGTAATTCTGCTTGCCTCTTTGAAAGATTTAGACCTCTTAGAAGATCGTTCAGTTTTCCTGCAAGAATAGTTGTGGTTGTAGCCGTGCTGTAGATGGCGTGTAATCAATATCGTCATGATCTTCATGATCTTTTGGTTTGTCACTACCATCGTCTGTTTCATCTTCCAGTGTCATGGTCAGTGTCGTTGGTGGGTTTGAAACTGGGAGAAAATGAGAAAGCGAAACTGGGCGCATTACAGATTCCAAGTTTGGATAAGAAACTGTTTTGATTTACTTGATATTTCTGTTTCTTGCGTTAAGCAAAAGTAGCAATCTGTAATGTGATCTCTAGATTCCCTTTAGTAGTTAGAGTAGTACGCCTTTTTGTCGATTGGAGAGATGTATCTTTTAGACTTAGTTGTAAACTCGTCACACACATAACAGAAAATATTTGGTGAATATTAACACATTTCGCGATCACGCAAAATGCGTTAGCGAATTATCACACTTCAAGAACAGATATTGTGTCATCTCACTATCGATTGATTAATCCAACTACAACTTCCTTTTACCTGCCCACAGTCGCTATCTCCCCCTCCCCTCTCTACACACCGCATTAGGCAATAATTTCCCCAAAATACAGTATGTGATATGCGCCGCATCAACACGAATATCACAGTCGAGAGCAAATAAAATTACGTTTCCAGAAGAAAGATCCGGTGACAGCAGAAAATAGTTTTCATTACTGTCATCAGGGCACTGAACAACACAACAATCACATATTTTTGTTCTGCAGTAAATTTCATTGTCTCATTGTGGTAAATAATAATAATAATAATAATAATAATAATAATAATAATAATAATAATAATAATAATAATGGTAAATACAATCCACTTACCACTGTACAAAATTACTCAATTAATAAAGATTATAATACTAATTGTTATTACTATAAGTGAATGTCATTGGCGGCTCTACCTTGTTTCTATTAATTATTAATCGATTATTAATTATTGTTTTATTATAGATCCACTTATTTTGACAATGAAATTGGACACAATCATTCGAATAAAGCAATGGGAGTGAGTCATATTGTATATATTACCCCAAAACGATGTGTCGGTTTTTCCCCATCTACTAGAGTTTCTCATCATCGTGTTTTTCCCCATCATATCGTATTGTCTAAACCAATGATTAACATTAACAATTAACATATATTACATGATGTTAAAAACTTTGATTAAAACTGGTGTAAGTTACAATGATATGGTAATTGCTAATTAATAAACTATAAGAATATATTTTATAAGATTTTTAATAAGCGTAGTAACGAATATGTTAAAAGACCTTTCTGGTGAAAATTAAACTACATTTTTCATTTTTGCTTTATTTCTAAATAAAATATAATTCACTTTTATTACTTTAAGATCAATAAAACTACAATAAACTAATCAGCGATTTAAACATGTTTATCCTTCCACAATATAATATTAAAAATCCCTTAAATACATGAATGAATTATTTATACTTCTGAAATAAAACCATATCTTATGAATAGTAAACAAATAAATTAATGTCATGCGAAAATTAATTTGTTTTCTTCTTTGAAATATGAAAATACTAGCAGAAGTACATAATCACTTTTGAGATGATATATTTGAATAGGATTCGATGAGAGTGAAAGAGGTCGAGAATGCATTCAAATTACTGTAATAACAATTATACCGTTTTTGTATGTATAAGTGCAGTTAAACGCTTTTTAAAGATCCTGAGAATGGAGAATGCAAGACCATACGCGCAGACCATAGACAAATAATTCCGCTTATCTGGCCTTACGACACATTGTAAGCACTTTGGTTGCAATGCCACTGCCTGGGAGGTCGAAGGTTACAAATTATTAAGTTAATGCGATTCCTTAATATTTCCACTAAAAAGTATAACTAATAATGAAAAACCTATTCCCATGTGGGTGGTCGAGAACCATCGGCCGGTGGCGCCTGTTCACCGGCTATCTCAAAGGTCACATGAATTGTCATGAGAAGATACACGTTACCCCCAAAAAAGCAGAGCTTGTCACCAGAGCTCGTTTTCGGATGACATGTCATCGTCTCATTGGTGCATTCTAGATGTAGCTATCTTGTAAATGAATGTTCATCACGACATATAAACAATAGGAATGTATAGTTATTGGGTCATTCTTTGTCATTTATTGCCATTTTTTAATTTTTTGGTCATTGTTTTGGACCTTTGCGCCAAACCACGGAAAACTACCGATCAGAACAGCCGGCCTTTACAATTTCCCTCCAGTCAGCGGCTGAATCCCACCTATAGCTGACAAGTGAGTACTGAAAATCCCGCCATCGTCGGACTTGATCCTAGGACCTCCCGGTTAGAGGCACTGCAGTGATATCAGTTGATGCCCTGACCACCAAAACTGGTCACTTTTGAATATTGCCCGTTGATTTGGATCACGGGACCCTGCAAAATCGGAATCTAAGAAACGTTGCGCAACTAGTAGGGCCGCTTCGGCCGTCAATCGTTCCTCGCGCTCGTGGCCAGCACGGGTAGCGAACGTGCGAACGTCACCGTGTGATTTGAAACTTGTTCCTCGTGAGAGTGAATTTCTGGGACGCTCTTGGGCTGGGACGCGGGTCCGGGTCAAATGGCTGGTTCAGCTCGCTTTCACGCGGCAGAGGCGGCGCATCTGGGCGGCCCACGGACGGAACAAGACCCGGAGGGGCGGGGAGGGGAGGGGAGGGAAGGGGAGGGAGATCGGAGGTCAACTGGGGACGGGGAAGAGGTGGGGGGATGTGGCTAGAACTCGTGGTGTTCGGAACGCGAGAGTTTTCCGAAAGTTAATGAATTCTAATAAATTTAACCGATCAGACACATACCGACAATTTATTTTATTTTATTAGAAATCATAGGCGTGCGCACAAGGGGGACAGGGGGCCATGACCCACCCCCCCAAAAAATTGAAAGGCCTCCCCATATCCTTACATAATGAAAAATATTATTTCCTTAGTATGTTGTAACCCTTAATATGTAAAAGAATGTTTCCTTAACGATATTGTTCCCTTTTTAATTCTGACAATTTGGGAAATTGTTATTAGATATTTGGGGAAGAGGTTATCCGAGCCATCTAGCAACCGTGTAATGTTACTAGTAACCGTGTAAGTATTCAATAGAATTTACAAATAAATCACAAAAATTGTAATTATAGAATAAACAGATTGGTTTACAACATCTGAGAAAATCAGAATTTAGATTATTTTATACTATAAGCAAGAGAATTATAGAAATTCGAGTAATATAGGAAGTAATAAATAGTAAATAGGAAGTAACAGATAGGCATTTCATGTATGATTAAATTGAATACAATACTTAAAAGTGTAGTAACTTTCAGACCTAATAGATGGCGGAATGTAGTACATTGCAAATGTGACTGAATTCCGACAATATCAGAATATATTTATACAATGTCAATTACAGGGGGACTTTTTTGTTAAATAAGGGAAAAACATCATCGAATTTCACCATTACTGAGAGTAATTTATTAACATTACATATACTATAAGACAAATAAAAATATTTTTAAAAAGCTAGAATGACCTGCGTGAATATTCCTTTGTAAATCATTGGTTTGAAAGTGAAAACCACTTCATGCTGGAATTCAACGCATTCGGCCAGGTCCTGAATATTACATCACGTAAGTTCCATACGGTACGTGCGCATTCTAATTTTCTCTCCTTTACTAACAACAGATAGTATTTGGCTCATTTACCAGAATATCACAGAAATGTAATCCGCCCGTATCATTCATTTCTCGTTTTTGTTCACCCCTCATGATTCCCCTCACCATTATCCACTGGAAGGCAACAGCAACCCACAACTGTGATCGTCAGCTCAGAAAAGCAGAGGACATCAAGGCACAGAATAAATACTCCACACCAAGCTAAGCTACCGAAAAAAACCGTGCGCTAGTATGATCTTCATGGTCGCCCTATTTAAAGTGTGTAAACAGCTGTACGACCCGACATTTGTTGGGCGGTGAACGGTGGAGAGGATGTCTTTTATTTCGATTTTACTCGTTACATTTGGTGTGTAATTAGCAAAAACATATCTAACCCGAGGGAAAATTTGCTTATAATAAGCAAATATTAATACAAAGTAGAGATAAAAAGGTAAATAATTATAAGCACATAACTAGTTATGCTACAGAATGGCATAGACTTTCTCATGTTAGTTTTATATTTTCTTTGGTGTGGGCTAGTTTATCGCACTTGGCATATACAATGCGAGCCTTGAACTTTGTCGTAGATATGGTTGTTGCATTTGACGCTTTTGACGTAATGCAGTCGACTATTTTATTAGTGCGCCGCGATCGAGAAAAATGTTTCCCAGCCGACCGGCCTTCACTTGCGGGGAACGGTGCGCTGAACTCCCCC